CAAACTCATTAGTCAACAGAGCCAAATATCAACAGTACAACAATTGAAATTTCTTTTGAGAGCCAAATTTTTTACACTTAAACTATATAGGTAGGTACATTGTTATTAACTTAATTAGGGTACTCCTAAGGCTTAGGAAGAGCCACACTCAAGGGGCCAAAGAGCCGCATGTGGCTCGCGAGCCGCAGTTTGCCGACCACGGCCCTAGTCAGTTTGGCTCAGTGGGTAGAGCGTCAGCCTGTGGACTGAAGGGTCCCAGATGGCACATACTTGGGTTGCAGGCTCTATCCCCAGTAGGGGGCGTGCAGGAGGCAGCCGATCCATGATTCTTTCTCATCATTGACGTTTCTCTCTCTCTTCCTCTCCCTCTCCCTCCCCCTCCCTCTCTGAAATCAATAAAAATACATTTTTTTAAAAAAGAGAAACAGTCCCCACGCATAGGGTTCCTGAGACGCTGAGAGTAGGTGATGCAGAAGGCCACCAAGGGGACGCCCAGCATTTCTAAGGAGACCAGAGGGGAAGGAGTCGTTATGACGTGATTAGTGGCTTCAGTTGGGTGAAAAGCAGCAGTCACGGGGCCGCCGGTGAGGGCGAGGGGATCATTACCCACCACTCACCGGCAACGGAATTTTGTCAGCGACCAGGCCGCTGGTACGTGCCAGCTTTTGCTGAACGTGGGCAAGTTCTTCTCCGTTAGGGAAACAGGCGGGAGAGGAGAGATGTCAGCTGACATGTGTGCCCTCACTCTCCTCTGACAAACCAAATTCATTCCTTATGTAATTGATAACGGCCTTGGCCAATTAATTCACACATTACAATACACAGCGGCCCCCTTTGCAGGTTCTGCAGGGCTGTAATTAGCTATGCTAATATCCCCTTTATTGGCCCTAATATTGCTCAACACCTTTTGCCATCCTGGAACCCGCGAGAGCCCCATGGCCTGTCAGGACCACTGATTATTGAGAAGGATGGCTTTAATCAAACATAATTGCAGTTAATTTTTCTCTCCTGCTCTCGGTTGCCAGCGTCTAATGCCACGGACTCCTTGATATTCCATTAAATTACAATTAAACGGCCTCCTTTGTTTCCGAGCGTCCTGACCCACGCCACAAAGTTCTGGAGCGGCGTGCGGGAGCGCCGTTCGGTCCTAATTGCCGGCTCGCTCACAGAGGGCCAATTTGCACAATACCCATGTAGAATTTAAACAGTTCATAACGTAATGGATATTACACAGGAGCCTCACACTACAATTAAAATGATTTTCATCAGATAGAGAGGCTCTGGTTAATCAGCTTCATAAAAGTAAATATAAATGAACTAATTCATGGCTTAAACACACAGAGAGGGAGCCAACTTCGAGGTTAGTTACTGCGGCGGGGGCTCGCCCTGCGGGGTGGGGTGGCCGGAGTGGCCCACGTCCGAAGCCCCAGCCCATTATCCGGGGTCGGCCCCGGAGTCCACCACGGAGAGCACCCCTTGGCGCGGGCGTTGTCCGAGCGGATTATGACACGGATGCCACTGGGAGCCCACTTCTAAGTTGCTTCAGCGGGTACAGCTGTGGCCACGGCGCTGTTGGGAGCAACTGAGTCCCTGTCCCTGCAGAAGGGTCGGCAGGCCTGTGACTTTCTAGGTCGCACGGAAGAGGCCAGTTGCTGACCTCAGCAAGCAGAGGCCCCGTGTCTGTGTCCACACGGTGCTCCTGAGTGAGAGGGACACCCCCGAAACCCGCTCTTCTCAGAACCAATGAGGTCGCCCAGGTAGCATTCTCCCCTCATCCCGAACGCGCAGGAGGAGGACGCCGGACTCCAGGAGTGGCGACGTCACACCTTCCCCGCTTTCAACCAGCCTGAGGACTTCCCAGGGTTGAGCAGGTCGATTCTGAGCAGAAGATTACGGGGGAGTTTGCACTGTGCCCGGCGTGGCCGCCTCCTGCCTGCCTGGGAGAAACAAGTAAATAAAGCCCATATTTCAAGCTTGATTTACTCCGGTACCTACTGTGAAAGATGACGACTCTTTAGGGAAATAAAGACAGGGTCAGGGAATTAGTGTACATAATGGTCATTTTGATGATGGGCCAACAGCTGCAACAGGAAACGCACTGTACACAATTAAGCGTAATGTACTAATGACAGGTTAGGATTTTTATCGCCGCGGCCATCGAGCAGCCAGCCCGCGCTGAGCCGTAATAAAGAGTTTATTGGTGTGCACGCCAAAGATTTCCTGACATTGGAAAGATTTTTCCTTTCTTAACAAGAGGATTAAGTCCTTTGTGTCCCGGCCTCTGGAAGGGAGATATGTAAAGTGATGCTCAGATGTTTCTTGGGGGAAAAAAGCCCATTCGAGGGCCATTGAGTCAAGAATGACCTCCCCCGTCGGGTCTTCGGTGGCCTAACCCCGTCCCCAAACATCGTCCCAGTGCGTCTCACCGGGCACTTCCAGTCGTGTGTCCCTGTGCGCGGACACAATTGGGCCGCCGCCTCCTGGAGGCTCCGTTGAATCCCCGAGTTCACCGTGACCAAGAGGAGTCAGCACAGGGCTCCCCTCCTCCCGGCCGAAGCTGCCCCTGTCTGTCCCTGCACATGTTGTCCTTGACTTGGTGTGTGCCCTTGGGACCTGAATTCTTCAAGGGACCCTGCTTCCCCGGGCCACACACTCCAGACCCCTCCCAAGTCCTTACGTTGGGAGGCGCTGGGATAGGAGCCCATCCCAGATAAGTGTGTGTGAGCGCACCTGCTCCCGAGTCGACCCTGGAGGGTACCCAGCCCTGACTCGGTTGGGCTACTTTCTGCACCGGAGGACAGTGGAGGCCCCGCTGGGCCTCATGCCGAGTGAGGCAGAGGCTGGCCAGGCGACCTCCAAGCCTCATGGAGGCTCAGGGGTGAACCGGCCGAAAAGACCTCGAGGAACTGAAGCAGCTCCTGGGGAGGGGTGCCTTTCCCGGCACAAAGGGCGCTCCCGGAGCCGGCTCCACAGGACGAGCTGCCTCTCCGGCAGGCGCCTGCTCCGGAGATTAGCCGGCTGGTAATGGGCGGCATAATTGCACCGCGCGGCTGTCCCCGAAGTGAAAACCTAATTGCCTGAGAGGACGATAACTTTGTGCCGCCCTCACCTTGTTAGGCCCCTTCTGATGCAGTTCAAGTGCGGAGTGGCCGCAGGTGCGCCCAATTTACCTCGCCGCCGCGCGTGGCGCTTAATTGCGGCGGCTGTTAGGAAAAATTGGTGGGTGGAATTTCAAGTGACTGGCTGTGCTGATGGCAGATGGTGTTCCAAGGCACCGCGAGCTAACGTGGAGGTGAGGTGAGTTAATAAAAGATGTAAATTCCGGCCTGAAATAGTGAGGCCGCGCCATATGCAAGAACGTTTAATTAAGTGGCCACCGCTCTCCCGCCATCCATCGGCGTTTCTCCTGCTGGGCCCGGAGCGGGGCGGACCTCGGCCTGTGGAGGCTTCTCATTTTCGGGTGTGACGCGTGTCCACAAAGAACCATGAGCCTCAGGTTGGTTCAGGGAAGCCATGTGAAACCCTCTAGGAACGCACGTCCTCACGTAGGGCAGGTGGTGTTCGGAGAGAAGCTGGAGAAGGCGCTTGTGTCGCCTTGTTGGACGGGATGCTCAGATACCCTCAGCGAGCTCCCCTGACCGTGGCCTTCTCCAGGTGAGGCCCCAGGGGCGCAGGGACAAGACCCCGCTGTCCCCGGGGTTGGTGTGGCAGCCCGGCTCCCCATGCCTGTCCTGTGAGCCGGAGCATCCACGTCTGTCACTGAGCTATGTGTAGGGACGGGGAGGACAACATGATGATGTTCCTGTCACAGCAGCTCAACGCGCTGCCAGGACCTGAGTCTTCCTGCCTCTCAGCGCAAGGGCAGGGCTCGGCGAGAGCTAAGGAGCTTGGGCTGGCCCCGGACAGCGCCCGCTTTCCCCGCTCTGTCACTGTCCTGTCCAGGGTCGTTGATGACTCCCTTAAAGACACACGTAGACCTTTCACAGACGTCATGGTCACCCCCCAAACAACACCCCCAATCGTTCTTTTTCTTAAGAGTTGTACCTATTGTAAGTTCAAAACTGCATCTTGGCCTAGGTCAGTGATGGTGAACCTATGACACGCGTGTCAGAGCTGACACGTGAACTCATTTTTTTGGTTGGTTTTTCTTTGTTAAATGGCATTTAAATATCTAAAATAAATGTCAAAAATATAAATCTTTGTTTTACTATGGTTGCAAATATAAAACAATTTCTATATGTGACACGGCACCAGAGTTAAGTTAGGGTTTTTCAAAATGCTGACACGCCGAGCTCAAAAGGTTCACCATCACTGGTCTAGGTCGTTATGGGTTCATTTCCTGGTCAAAGCATATACCTAGGGTTGAGGGTTTGGTTCTGGTCAGAGCATATACGGGGAGATGATTGATCGATACTTTTCTCTCACATCAATGTTTCTCTCTCTCTCGTCATCTCTCTCTCTCTCTCTCTCTCTCTCTCTCTCTCAAATCAATGATCATGTCCTTGGGTGCATTTCAAAAAGCATCTTGAAAAGTGCGTTTATGTAGGTGGTGATGTCTTCTGGGGTTAGGGCTGCTGGAGAGAGTGTGGCAGGCCCAGTGAAATTTGAATTTCAGATACAGAAAGAATAATTTTTCCAGGATAGCATACCTCTCCTAAAGACGTTGTTGTTTATCCAAAATCCAAGTGTAACTAGGCGTACTGGGGTTTTATATGCTGACACTGGCGGTCCCCTCTGGGCTGGACGGGTCCCTAACAGCTCCCGGCCGGTGGTGCAAAGATCTAGGCGAGAGACAGCCACCAATACCAGTCACCGTCGTTCTAATAAAACGCGGAAACCCATCATGTCCAACGGAAGTCACTACTTTCAGATGAAGCTCTTCCACGCTGGCCATCAGCAGGGCAGCCCCCACCACGCCCCGTGCATGAGTGTCTTTCAAAAAGTGTTCATCTGTTGTCTGATGACCCTAACAATTATCCTTTTTTTTTGTATTTTTGTAGATTCTTTCTAAAGTTTTTCCTCAAGTGCAATCAGAACTGTTTGAAGAATGCAGGCAACCCTCGAGATATGCGGAGATTCCAGGTACACCCTTGTCCGAGACCCGCGGGCCACGGTCCCGACTGCTAAGATGAAGTGTGAATTCTCTGATGTTGCAGCTGTTCAGAAAACGATCGTTAGTTCTCAAGGGCATGGGAGTAAACCAAAACCCTTCAGTCAGATGCTTTAAACACAATCAGGCATCTTCAGGATGCCGGGTGCATTGTGTCTGTCCATCCATCCATCCATCCATCCATTCATGGCCCATGAGGCACTGCACACATGACCCATGCTTGTGCCCTGATGACCAGGCAAGCTCTAGGGCGGCAGTTATCAGAGCTGTAGGTTAAGTTGGGGTCCTGCTTGCATGCGGCCATGGTGAATCTCAGGGGTGTGATTGAAAGGGACTGTTTCAATTTTTTCACATAGAGTTCTCTTAACATTAGCATCTAAACCAGCCTGTTTATTGCATGTGGCTGTTCTTACTCGAGTGACTGGCATTGGGAGTCCGTGTGGGAGATCTTTTAGGAATCAATTGGTTGGTTGATTTTTCCTGGGGGAGAGGGGTCTACTCAAACCCTGCCCTCCCCGCCTGTGGGATGCTGGCCTCTGCACACTCCAGCCCGTTTCCTGGCTCAGCTCCCCTCCCGAGGCCTGGCATGTCCTGGCCTCCTCAGCTCCTTGCCCGGTTCCTGGACTGCTCCTGGGCCCGGCTGGCTCACCCCCTGGCTTGCTCCCAGGACTTCACCCCAAGGAGAGAGGGGGAGAGGTGGTTGCCTTCGGGGGAAAATGATGAGCCAGGCCCCAGTGCTCTTGTCTTTGTTTGTGGAGGATTAGGAGGTGACTTCAGGGTGAAGGGTGCTCTGCCTACAGGATGGATTATTTTGCTGATTTTAGTTGTAAAAAATCTTCGGGGCTGGGTCCCACACACCCTGCCACTGGTCCCTGGACCAATCGGAGAAGAATTTGGCAGCGACTACAAATGTCCACTAGATTGGATGAGTTCACCATCAAATTGCTCACAGTGTTTTTGGAAATTTAGCTGATGCTTTAGCATTTTAGCAAAACGGGAAGTCTGTCCTTTCAGCCGACTAGCCAATCAGAGACGGGAGCTTGGGCTCGCCCAGTCAGGCTCCGGAGCTGGGACAGTGTCTCTCACCAATAGTGGGGCCCGCCTCCCTCTGTCTCGCCCAGGGCCTCGCAGGTGATCCCTCTGAGCGGAGTGGAGCTCACCCCTGAGCCAGTCCCAGGTGCAGCCCGCGCTGCAGGGGAGACTTCCTCTGTCTCCGGCTAATCTCCCCATCTTGCGGGGGTTTCACTGGACTTACCAGTGGGTCAGGCTCACGCAGTGTTTCCACCTGGTCCCAGCACCTCGGCCCCTTCCTGTAGGACCGCGGGCTGGGCCCAGGCCGAGAAGCGAACCCCCGCTTGTCTGTGCTCTCTGTGCCGAACGGCACTCCTCCCGCGGTGACGGACCTGTATGTGGCTGACAGCAGGACGGTGCCCTTTGATTGATTTTTACGTTTCTTGTTTCTTTCACATGCCAGGTCTAGTCACTTTAAAAGGGTTCAGTCTGTGTCTCAGTGTTGGTTGTGGGTCTTTGCATCCTCCCCTGATGGTGTGTGGGGGCAGGGCCTGGCACCCCTGGGCGGGGCTTGGCAGACAGACTCCTCTCTACCCAGGCTGTGCAGGGCGCTGCCCTCTGGGCAGCAGAGAAGACACTGAGATCCGACCCTGGGCCTGGGGACACTGATGGTGGGTGGCATCTTTCAAGGCTCAGAGGAGACTCCCCCAGTCTTGGTGATGCCCACCGGGGAGGGAATTCTCAGGGAGGGCATCCCAGGGAGGGACCTTTGGGGGTACAGTGCTCCCTGCCCTGCTTCAGTCTTCTTCTGGGGCCTGAGAGCTTTATCAAATCTGTTACTAACCATGCATTCATGTTTAGGTATGTAGCTTTGGCCTTTTTTTAACCCTCAAACATGATTTTTTAAAATCAGTTTTCTCCTAATAGTTTTTTAAAGAGCAGTTTTAGGCTTCTAGGAAATTTCACAAGAGTACGGAGAATTTCCATTTGCCCACCCCTAGGCACCCCTGCCTCAGTTTCCCTGATTAGTAAGGCCTTGCCTTGTGTGGTACGTTTGCTATATCAGAGGGACCGATGTTGATACATTGCACTGACTAAGGGTCACTGTAGCTTCGGCTCCTCACAGTCATTTACGGGGCGTGTTCTGATGTGTGCAGACCGATGGGGAAGGTGGACATGGATGTGAGCCCCTCTGGTTCCCTGCTCACCTGCTCAAGCCCAGAGTTTCTCCAGGTGGTGCTAGCCCCCAGCGCTGCCCACATGTGGCAAAGAGCCAGGCTCCTTGCCCCCCCAAATCCAGGCTCAGCCCTAGGAGCCCTGCTGCGAGGCATCATCCTCAGACTGCACCTGGGCCCGTGTTTGCCGCCCCAGCTGCTCTGGAAATAACGTACCACACAGACCCACCTCTGGGATGCTGGTCACAGGTCACCTGGGAAGGCTCTCTGCTTCCCCACCTCCTCCTGCAAGAGTTCCTTCTTCACTTCCTCTGAGAGTAAGAGGCCCTTCCCTGTCTCCCCCGGCCACCCTCTGACCTGGACTTAAGATGGGAGTCTCTCACCCCAACAAGAGGCCATTGCTGGGCAGGCCGGGTCCTGGCCATCCTGGCCATGTACTTGAGAAAGGATACTTACCCTGGGCTGAGAACACGCTCACTGTTCCTATTCAGCTCGGCCTTTTCAGATGCAAACACGCTCACTACCAGCCGGTCCCCTGTGATTGTGAAACTGACCCCAGCATTTGTCGGGAGGATGCGGGCAGTAGGACCGCTCCTGATTTATGAAGGCTTTTTTGGCAACGGAACCCTCAGCACTCTTCAAGGAGGACTGTCTCAAGTGAACTAATTTTAATTAGATAAACTCTCCAATCAATATGTGAACAGATCAATCAAAACAGCAGCTTTAAAATAGTGGCCAGAGGGGTGTTTCTGAAGCTAATGGCTAGAAGAATATTTCTCTGAATTGAATGCACTTGTTAGCATAATAGGAGATTAAACTGTAATTAGGGTAGCAGGTTTTCAAGAGCTTCAATCCCGAGTCAAAACAAAACCAAACAAAACCAAACCACCCAC